AGAGAGCTGAAACTTACAGGGATGGTAGGTAGTGACATGGTCTATCGTATGTTAGGACGATGACCCGATTGGGCCAAGGGCACGGGCTATTAGCACTTGGGAAAATCACCCCTTGGAGGTGTTAATAGGCAATTTGCGAAAAATAATGCGCGAGGGCATATCGATTTTAAGGTACTTATGCGTAGTATGACCCACCCCGGTAAAAAGGATCCCTGTAAGTCTTAGTTCCCAGTTGACCTTTCCGGTGCTAATTGACCTTTTCCGGGAAAAGTGATAATGGACCTTAAAAACGGGATAACTTGGGAAGTATTGGTCAGATATGGATGAAACTTGGTAGGTAGGACTCCCATGTGACCTCGAACCGATTATGGGGAATTTGACCCCGGGTGACCCCGGGGTGACCTTTATTTGACCTTTTGGATTTTTAGCTCCAAAACCCTTAAATTTAGCACCGGAAAATAGCCCAAATTGTATGGTTTGTAATCAGCAAGGTTAATGAAGCTATGCCATTGATCTTGGGTGGTGATTGGCATGTATGGGAATTTAGTTAGGCATTTCCCTGAATTCGATGGAATATCTTGGCTTAATGTATAGCGGTATATTGTTGGAATTATTACGAGTTAGCTAAACAAACATTGGGTTCAATTTGAATTGGTGAATGAACTATAAATAGGAATGCGTCAATGGCACAGAAAAGTAGTCACATATTATTTTGGCAATTTAGACAAGGGAATAGGGAATTAATTAACTTAAATATTAGCAATGTACAGGATATTCCATTGGCTTCTGGGGGATGTTTTATTGGCTCAATTGGACCCCAGTTAAGGGAACGGCTTACCCTGAAGGTCGATTAAGTTGAAATTTGAATAGGCTACGTATGGGAATTTTTGGATTACGATAATTAGGAAATTAAGTTCACTGGGATTTTATCCTAGTCATGGGAAAAGGGAAAAGATACGGGATAATTAAATAAAGTCCTTGGGTATTTTGATATGTAAACATAACTCGGATTAAGTTGAAGTTGCAGTTGTTATTCGAACTTGGTATTTAAGTTAATGTGATCACGTTGAGTTTATGAACTGGAATGCTGCGTGGGAGGTACTTAGGCGTATGTTAAGACTTATAAGGGGATGGCATCTCTAACTAAAACTAAGGGTAAATAGACTTAAGGTACGGACGTTCCGGTCGACCTTTGCGAAAGGAGAACGAAAGTTAGCGAAAACGGATTCAGCTGGTTGGAAAAAGTTACAAAATACCTTGAAGGAACAACTTCGTGAAAGTTGTTAATTTATCGGGTTGGGTGATTTTTCCAAGTACTTTCGGGAAGAAAGTGAAGTTCAGAGAGGTAACTCTGAAAAGTTAATAGAAAGGAAATATTGATAACTGTTGGAAGCAGTTGGTTAATTGGTAACAGTCGCAGACCCTTTTTCTTAACTGAACGATTAATTTATATTTGAGCCAATTATAGGCCATTCTGTAGTTGGTTATATTTATCTCCTAATTCATTCTTACTATCGAAATTGTTATTGCGATCGATTATTGAATGACGAGTGAGATACAGTCGAGAGAGCACAACAAAGGGGCGAGCAACATAGTACGATACAGAACGGCTAACCACCAAATCGACCCTTTTGGGATTGTAAACATCACTGGTACTTGATTGCCCCACCGACCCAGTGATTAAAGGGAAACATATTGCGGCGACGCGAAATAGAGTGAAAGGTCGACCTATAGATACTTGTGAATTTCCCCACGTTTACAAGATATCTCAAATGGTCTTCAAAGTCGACTTCTTTTGATTCTGAGCAATTTTCTGAAGCGTTTCGTGGCCTTAATATTAATATTCAGCTTTGGTTTTTATTTCTGTGTGGGCAATTAATTGGATAGCATGGACATTGATTTTAACGTCACTTGGAGCAAAAGTTGATAAGTTATAGTGCTTCAAAATGGCTTTAAAAATAAGAAGAGGTCGATTGTGGTGCAATTAAAGACCTATAACTTTTTTCCAATTTTTGAATTTTGTTGAAACTAAGTCATCCTATAGAACTGCTATTGAGTACTGCTTGGAATCATAATCGTATGGGTATCTGTAGAGGTCATCGAGTTAGAGGATCTCAAAAATTGCCAAAAAGAAATTTTTTTTCGATTTCAACAATTTTTGGGGGTCAGTTTTGGCTCAACTGTTGCGATTCAGCTTTTTTCATTAATACTGAGTGTTAATAATGGTTGCTCAGTATGGACACAATTTTTTGAGTAGTTTGAAGTAAATGTCGATTTGTTTTTGTCCTGTAGACGATAGACTATCATCGCTGCACCACCTTACCCCTTCCCCCCTCGTGACTGTTATCGTCCCCTCGCTCTCTTGGTTTTCTGAAATTTAAAGCGCCCTCGTTTCCTTCGATTTCGTTGCAATGACACTTATTGTCTAGCAAGGTAGTATTTAATGCACTGTTGCGTTTCTTGTTCTATGCAATTTCATAGTGTTGCACAGCAATAGCGCTTAATTGTCCCATCTGCTGTTCTATTGCTCGGATATATCTGAGGGCATCTACGGTTTTCGCCCAGTGCGAGTTGACTGCCTTGCAAAATCTGTTAGCGTCGAGGGCAGCAATGCCATATTGCACTCTGTTTGTTGGTTAGTAACTTTTCATTCTCGATACTGGTACTTTTGTAATTTCCTTTAATCTTGGATCCAATGGTGCCAAAAGCCAGTAGGAAATATCGATCTGAAATATCGATCTGAGGTTCAGGTACTTGCCATTGATGTCAAAGTCGACCTTCATGATTGCCAGGTACTGCTCTCCGTCTAACTTGAAGTTTTTATGACTCGAGCACCTTGCGTTGAATCAAGTTAACTCCCTTCTTCTGGCCTTCACCAGTTTATGATGACTTGAGCGGTCAAGACTTGAGATATATGTAAAAGCGAGGTTTTAAGCATTAATTATATATTATTACAGCTATCGTTGTTGCTGGTAGCTGGACTAATCGATTAGTGATTGTTTTATACTTGATCAGTATGAACAATTTGGTGGTATTTACAGTATTATATAATAATCAAACAGCAAAGATTCCATTAGGAACAATCCATAATTAAATAAGGATAACTATTTCTCTTGGCTAATGTTTGATATTACAGTTCAATGACATCATGATATTCTAAGATCATGACATAACTACTCTTTAAAAAAGTTTTCCGGTTATTGATTTTTCACTGGTCGAACAAACCACTGATCAGTTAGTCTAAGACAATGTCGCTGAAAATGGCATGGCTGCTTCGGTTTTTAGACAATCTTCTCTGTCTCTGGATGTTAGAATAACTGCTATCAACCCTTGAGTGGGTTTCTTTTTTCTTTTTCTTCAGTAGTCGCCTCCTTCGCTTTAATTAGAATATCCGTATTCATGTTTTTGTCTTCTTCCGCATGAATTCGTATCGCTCTGATGGCGATCCCACACTCCTGTTACCATATGATGACTAGAGCGGTCAAGACTTGAGATATATGTAAAAGCGAGGTTTTAATCATTAATTATATATTATTACAGCTATCGTTGCTGCTGGTAGCTGGACTAATCGATTAGTCCAGCTACCGTACCGTACCTATACCGACACCGTACCGTGATGCCGCTCAATCTGAAACGGAAACACCTAAAAAATCTTCATGGAAACCTCCATGGCGCTGATAACAGTTTGATGATCATGATTTGATTTTTTACCTCGATTTTCTCGTCCGAACAAAGTAAATCCGAGACACAAAGTTTTGGTTCTTATGTTGCATATTCTTATTCTTAATCGTTAAAACTTACCCCCTGTAAGGCAACATCGATCTTTACCAGCAAGGACCAACCGAAGATAAGCACAAATCCCTGGAATGACCACAGTTTCTCCTGGATTCTGAAGCGTGTAACTGGGACGAGGCCAATCAATTGGGAAACGACCCATCCAGAAGAATATGAATAGTTGCCCCACAGACTCTAGCCGCAGGAAATCCGTTTGTTCTATTAAGCCATCGAACAGAATATACAAAATTTTTGGTGCTTGCCTAAGTCCTGTAAGGGGACATCGTTATTAGTTTAGTGCTCCGAGCTAACTCGAGGGGCACATAATTGAATCCTTTCGCGGCCAGAGTGTAACATAGTGCTACTCGCCTATGTTAGTCATTCTTAACTAATTAACAGTGCTACTCTCCTACATTAGTCATTCTTAACTAATTACCATAATTGGAGCATATTAAATATTCATTTGCTATTCCAAATGTCAATGTGAAAGTGTTAAATTATATTTGTTTAATGTAAACAATAAACTGATGATTAGTTCAGGAAGATTGAGAGAGCCATTATAATCAGGAGCTCGCGAAAAGGAGACAATTTAACTAGTAACACATACTCTTAATTGAACAGAAAAACCAGTTCCTTAGAAGGTAGAAACTGACATCACAAAGCGCATCCCTGAGTTGAAGATTCACTAGCTTAGACCGCACATCCAACATACATACTTCAACACTCTAGAATACAAAGCATTCCTCAATCAACCAAACGATTATAGCCAGTAAAGGTATATAACATGGCGACTATGAGTGGGATGATGTTACCAACCTTTCAAGACAAGCTGAAGCTGATTGCAAAGTGAGAGTGAAAACAAGACGACATCCAACACAAGACGACTTCCATACGCCACAAGCTGAAACAAGATCACGGCAGTAATTGGCTCAAACAGCAGAAAAGCGGGGCAAAAACAGAAACTGACTACAGCCAGTGAGAGACGACAGCAAGGGACAAAAGGAAACTTTAACTGTTTTGTGTTGATGACAACTACTATACTTCTCCAGGAAAGTTGATACAGTGTACAAAAACAGTTAGTTGAAACTTAAAACTCTCGGTGCTTAAAGTAAAATTGATAACAAGGATACAATCAAAGAAGGGGTAGATTTGGTAAAGGAAAAAAGAACGGACAGCAGAGAAATGATGGATAATACGGAAACCAAGGTTTCTCCGGGTTTCAAAATATGCAGTACCCCCCACAAATGTTCCAGTTCCCCCAACAGATCCCTGGAATGCAATCGAACCCCTATTTCCAACAACACCAGAACTACCCCCAAACACAACAGAACGCTCAATTTTATCCGAACCAGATGTACCCTCAGGGCCAACAAACCCAACAGCAACAAGCGATAGCTACGCCACCACAACAGAATCCCCAGTTTGCCCAACAAGTTGCACAACCAATGATGCAGCAGGCGCACACCCAAATACAGCAGCAGTTCGCACTGGATCAAAATTCTGTGATCACTGCGGGAAGTTTGGCCATACCATAAGCCAATGTTGGCACAAACTCAAGCCACAGGGACAGCAGCAACAGAATTTGCCGTTCCAAATGGAACCAAAAAAACTAATTCAGCCACAAAGTCAGTCAGTCAATTCATCTAAATCACAAAAATCACGTAAATCGCGAAAATCACGCAAATCAAATATTCAAGACGTACAAGACGATGAAATTATTGATCTATACGCAGTCATCCCAACCGAAGGAACAGTGCTAACTTATATGAAAATAAGATTAGCGCTAAGCCTTCAAAAAAAGTACTGATTGACACAAGAGCATGTGCAAACGTTATTTCGAAACAAACATTCGATGAAATTAAAAACGAAAAAACACTATTCGCACCCTATAAAACGGCAAAATCAAGCCTCAAGCAAGTGCGAATGGCAGGAGGCCAACTGGTGTCAATTGAAACTGAAGTAACCATTGAATTTCATATGGCAGATATGAACTTTACGGAAACGTTCCTAGTGCTGAATTCAGCGAATTCAACGATCCTGGGAAACCCTTTCTTTAAAAAACACCATATAAATGTCTGCTCAAAATACAATCTACTTCACTTTCCAGATTTGACACTTCAAATCAACGAAATTAAACCCGCCAATGCACCTAGACGCACCAACCGAGTGAAAAAATGTCCTCTTGTTCTCACCAAGAAACAAATAATTGCACCTCATCAAACAGTCATAATCGAGTGCCAATTATAAGATATCCCGACTGACATGGAAAAAACGACAGGAATCGTAGTCCCATCACAGGAACTCGAAGAAAAATGCGAATTAGCAGTAACCTCATCAATACATGAAGTTAACAAACAAAATATCGTCTATGTCACGGCATTTAACATGACAGAACATAACTTAACGTTGCCTTTTAAAACCGAAATCGGAAAATTTTCGATACTCACGCTAACCGAATACGAAAATTTAATACAGATCGAGCCGCAAACTTTGGCATTAGCGAAAATTAACCAGCCGGATAATGTCGAACTCGGAATTAACAAAATAATTTCGCAAAAAACAAGCCCTTCCTTAGGATCAGAACAAAAACCACCACCTGAATACGAGAAATTTTGGTTCCCGACGCCCGAAACGTGCCCTAACCCGGAATCACTTCCCAGTATCCAAATGGAAATTTACGACCAAATCCTTTACTTTCAAGGTCTTGAGATAATTGAACCAAATAATAACATTCAGGACCGGATGACCTTTTTGAGTAACTTTCAGTGGGAGAATTCAGTGTTGACAAATTACCAAAGGTCAGAAGTAGAACATTTGCTGATCAAATATGCGGATATATTTGCCAAACACAGATTTGACGTGGGTTATAATTCCGACCTAAAGATCAAGTTGACACCCGAACATCAACGCCCACTGTACACTCAAGGACCACCTACGCCCATCCAACTAAGGAATGAACTGACGATTGAATTAGCTCTGATGCACTACTTCGGACTTATAACAACACTGTCACATTCTAAATACAGTAGTCCGTTGTTTGCCCATAGAAAGCAATCTGGAAAATTGCGGATGTTGATTGACCTCCGGCGTATCAATCATTCAATCAAAACGGACTATATAAATAGCAATTTTCTAATATCAAACATGATCGATGCATCAAACCACTTTGCCGGAAAGAGTTTGTTTACTAAATTGGACTGCTCACAAGCATACCATTGTGTGCAAATGGCAGATGACCTTTCGGTCCAACTTTTGGCATTTAACTTCGGGTCGCGGACGTACGCCTATAAATGCCTAGCCCAAGGTCTAAGTAAATCTGTCACGGGATTCAGTTCATTCATCCGTCACTACCTCGATCCATGCCTAGCAGCTGATCTGTGTACTCAATTCATGGATGATATAGGAAGTGCGGTGAATAGTTATCAGGAACTAATTCCCACACTAAAGAAAATATTTGAGTGCATCCGAAAATCAGGTCTAAAACTTTCACCTAAGAAATGCGAAATAGGAACACAAAGAATGAAATTCCTAGGAAGTGTAGTAACAACACAAGGAGTTACGCCAGAGGAAGCAAAAAATTCCGCATTTCTAAGCAAAATAAAAATGCCAAGAACAGTGAAACAAGTAAAAAGACTCATCGGGTTTGTGCAGTTTTTTAGGAACTACATGCCGAGTCTTGGTGAAAAACTAATACCATTCTATAAGCTGCTGAAAAAGCAGATCGACTTCGAAATAACTGAAGATCACCATAAAAACCTTGAAACTCTCAAAGCAGACTTAATACAAGCGACCACGTTGACACTCAGACTACCCAAGCCAGGACTGCAGTATGTCATACTCTGCGATGCCAGCTACCACGGGACTGGATTCGTATTAATGGTCGAGGACTACGTCCAAAACGAGAAAAACGAAGAAATCAAGACGTACGCGCCCGTTTCATTTGGTTCCCGGCTATTCAATACAGCACAGCTGAAATTTTCAATCTACTACAAAGAATTCCTAGCCTTGTATTTCGCACTTGATCATTTCTCGCACTACATCTGGGGATCAGTCAAACCAGTGATCGTATTAACAGATAATAGAAGTCTGACGCAATTCTTTCAGGCAAAAACCATACCGCCATCAGTGTGGAATTTCCTGGACCGAGTACTGTCTTTCAACATCTTAATCGCCCACATCCCAGGAACAGCAAACTACGCAGCAGACTTCTTGTCCAGGATGCAAACGGACCCATCGGCATCTCTCTCACTAAAACTGACAGACAAAATACCAGTCAGAGAAATTTATGTTGACACAACAGCAAGAGTACCCGATGCATCGCTTAACCTGGTTCAATCTATCAATGAGGCATTTTCTGAACCAGAACAGGTCGATGAAGCTCTAGTAGCAAACCTGCAAAGATTAGGACTTTACCAAGCATACCTCGAAAAACAAGCAACACGTGATAGTCAAGGAACAATAGAGCCTAAGGCACTCGTAATGTTGAAGAGGCCCATTTTGAATGCGATAGAGTACCCAGATCCAGCAGAGAACCTCATTGAACTAGACTCCAAAAATGAGCCCATTGACAGAAAAAAGGAACAACAACAAGACACCGACATCGAAGACGTAAAGAAGTGGATAAGAACAGGCGAAATACCAGATCTTACGTATGCAAATAGCCGACTAAAGAAGTATGCAAAGCAATTTAATAGACTTGTCATTGAAGACGAAGTCCTCCTCCGCAATTTCTACGACGATACGGGTAAAATCAAACACACAGTTCTGTGTAACAAAACACACGTGGAATGAAACTATATACAGAGTCCATAATTCAATGACAGGAGGACATATTGGCATGACACGAACCACAGAGGAATTCCGAAGGAGATTCTATTTTCCAGGATTCTCGGAGTTTCTGGTCAACACAGTCAAAAACTCTTTAACGTGCCCGCAGCTTAAAAATGCTTCGAGTAAACATCAAACACCACCACTTCAACCACTTTCCTCGTTACAATCATACCCTGGTGACATGATGCAAATCGATATAGTCGGACCGCTAAAGTCATCGGTGTACAAGTTTGTTCTAACTGGAATCGACGTTTTTTCAAAATACCTGTTCGCAGCACCAATGACGAACGCCAGCGCTGACACGGTGGCAAGAGAACTAACGAAGATGTTCTTCATGCATAGTTATGTGCCAAAAAGGATACTGTCGGACCTGGGGAGTGTATTTACGTCTAAGTTAATCCACGAACTCACAGGCCTTCTAAGCATCAAAATTGGCCATGCAACGCTGAAACACCCACAAACCATCGGACTGGTGGAAAGATCCCATGAGGCACTGAAAATGATCCTCAAACTTAATACTGACGCCCAATGGACTGATTGGCACCGTTATGTACCCCTTGGGACTTTCATACACAATACGTCATACTACTCGTCAATCGGATGTTGTCCGAGCACCATCTTTCACGGGAGAGAGCCTACCAAACCGCTTGATCTCAGATTTTCGACCAAAGCATTGGAAATTGCTACGGCTAATGCCGACTTTGTAACCGCGTTACAAGACGCGATGCTCGAAAAGTTCAAGGAGACTAAAGACAACATCGTGTCATCATATCACAGATACCGGGGATACTACGACCAGAAAGCACTAGCCCAACCGCTAGTACTTCACTCGTTCTGTCTCCTCCTCAACCCTCTTCTAACAAACCAGTCTGATACCCGGAATAAGTCACTCCAAGTGTGGCTCCCCTTGTATAGAGTGGAAAAGGTTCTAACTAACAGCAATTACATAGTAAGGAAAGTCGGAACCAACCACACACAGTGTGTCCACAGAATTCGCCTCCGATCGATTCGACCCCAGCATCAACTAGAAGACATTGACCCAATCGATGAGGCTCAATTCGTGGTAGATCCGTCACTAAGCAAGTACCGCAGTGAGCCAGGACTATTTGATGACTACCTACCTAGACTGCTTGACGACGTTCAACCGCAACACGACAGCAAAATCCAACAAGCAACTCCGACTACCATCCGCTTATCAATACCAATAGGAGGACCACTGGCACCAGCGCCACCCCCTGCAGTAATTATGGCACCACTGCCACCGGCACCACCGCCTCCAGTATCACTTCCAGTACCGCCACTAGTAGTGCTACCTCCACCACCGCCACCAGCACCACCACGTGAGCCACCATTGCCAATAGTGCCACCACGACCGCCATCTCCACCTGACACCGAACTGGATCCAATCAATCCACCAGGGCTTGAGCAACAGGACACACCCCTCGGAGAAGATCACATGGACAGAGCAGGAGCGGCAGAAACAGGTGGAATTGCACAAGGACGCGACGAAACTGCCGAGGAACAACTCGTACAAGAACCACCGCGAACGAAACGCAAAGCAGCAGCCATAGCACGTGACAGGATTTATGGACAAACTCGATTCAGCAACGACGTACGATACCACCCAATACCACCTCGGGAGAAGCACCCTCGCAAATATGGTCTGCGAACAGTAGATGGACACGAAGTCGCTCCGGTTACCTTT